CCGTGGGCACTGAGATTTCCTGATAACATAAACACACTGGTATAACGTTTTTCAGAAGGTTTAAACACCAAAAAAGGAAGTTCTAGGTTAGGACCAACAGGAAACTGATGAGTAGGCCAGAAACATTCCCCCATCCCATTCCCTCTTCCTACCCCTGGCATGGGTCAATACCAACACAACTGGTACCTCAGTGACAGAGGAAGGACAGGAGTGTGACAGTTTCAGCATAGGTGCCTGGACAGAGACCTGCACATCCCTACCAGACACTGGAGATGAAGGCAGCATGGCTGAGCCATGCCCGGCAGAGGCACTCACCTCCCCAGTCAGCATCGCTGAATTCACACTGGGCTTGTGCCAATGTCCCCTTTGAGTTGCATGCAGGCAGTAGCAATGGGGACTCCAGGAGAGCAGCACATTGTTCCTGCTTTATATGTGATGAGGAGACTGCCACACAAATTACCTTCTCGCTCCCAGGGGGCCACCTGCAAATAAAGCCCTTTGCCAATGGCTTCACCATCAGCACTCAACAAGGGACCACTGCTGCTCACTGGAGTCACGCAGTCGATGGGCAACTCCATCTTGCCCAGAGAACAGTGTGAGAAGCAGCTTCCAGCCCACACTTATCCAAAGATGTCTAGGGGCCAGCCCCAAAATGCAGATTTAGAGCAAAGCTTTAGAACAAAACACGTACATTTGAGGGTGCTTGTGTTGGAGTTTCAGAGTTCAGCCAGCCCCTGTCAGCGCTGCTAACACAAAATCTAATTTAATCGCAAAATTAAGCCTCCATGTGAGGATTTGCTTCTAATCCAAGTCCTCACCACGCTCAAAAGCACATATCTCAGAGGGGCCTTGCTTTGCACACCCACTGCCCTGGGACGGGGACAGCCATAGACAGTGCTCACCATCTTTCCAAGAGCTACCACAGCCTCCCTGGGTGGCACCATCAAAATTGGGTTCACACTGCAGCAAGACAAGACCTTGGACACAAGATGCATCTGAACGCACCCAGACAGCAAGGTGTAAAAGGTTGAGAAGAAGAAATGGTACAAGTATCCAGGGCAGGAGTTAAAAGAGGAAACAGCTCTCAGTTAGTAACAGTGATGCAGGATGGATGGGCCAGGGACAGCTGTCACCTCCCTGGAGCCCCTGCTGGGAAGCATCACCTAATTGCAATGTTTGCCCAAATGCAAACTGGTGAAGTAAGCAGTGGGCCTGGCAGGCATCTCCCACACACCCATGTCCACCAGGAGACACCCCAGGAGAGATGGGTGCTCCTCACTTCCCACTGGCTTAATTCAGGAGCAATTCCCTGTGGTTCACAGAGCTCCCAGGGAACTTGGAGGAATAGCAACCCCATCGTGTGCAAGCAACCAACACAATATTCAGCTGTTATCAAAATAATCCTGAATTCAGCTTCGGCATTGCTCAGCACCAGCCCCTTCCTCATGCTGTTTTTCTCAGTGCCTGGTTGATCTCACTCCGTCTTTACCCTCCTTGAGCACCACTGGG